TTTGTCGTCTTTATACTATAGTAAGGCAATAGCATATAATGATGTTCCACCTCTGCATAAAAAATGCCGAAACTTCTTTCAGTTAATGTTTCCATCTACCAATCTCTTTTTATCTATAACCAAATTTATGACCTAAAATTGATGTTTTATAATGGCAAAAATGTGTGGCCACTACATAGAAAAATGTTAAAAGAGATTTAAATCATTTTGACAATGCTATTGGCCGATAGAACATACAGGCGTGTTTAGAATTTTACGTCTGTTGTGGGAAGGGTTTGAAATTTCAGATGCATGGTATCTCATTCACAATTTACAGTTTCCTATTTCAATGGAATTAGGAGAGAAACTTCCTCCATCTGTAAATTGTAATATTAGAATGGTTCAATAAGTCAACGGTAGCGATGAAAAATTTATATTTTATAACACAAAAAAAAAATAATTTAATAATTGGAGCGGCTATCTCAAGCGCCGCCTTAGGGCCTGTTTATATGGAGCCGAGTTACCCGGCTGAGCGAGTTACTCGCCTAGCCGGGTTTGACAAAGTGATCTGTTTATATGGCACCGGGTAACTCGGCTAGCACTTCCGTTTATTAATCTTAAATGAAGTTTTGCTATGCTAACTTCGAGTTAAGGCGCGAGATTTTAAAAAGCCTCACAGTTTCGCTGCAAAAATGGAATGGGTGAATATAAAATTGAAAATTATGACATGTGTATGTTTTTGTATTATAATACTGCAAGTACAAGGCTTAGCACGCATGCGTACCAACAGAGCCAATTTTCTCGCCTCGCCGAGTTACCCGGCAAATGCGTTTATATGGAAAAATTCATCCCGCCTAGCCGGGTAACTCGCTTACACAAACCGAGTTACCCGGCAAGGCGAGTTACTCGGATGTGTCATATAAACGATTAACCGGGAAATGCATTCATTTTATATAAGGGCCGAGTTACCTGGCTAGGCGAGTAACTCGCTCAGCCGGGTAACTCGGCTCCATATAAACAGGCCCTTAGATATCTGATAACGCCAAAAAAATGGGGGATTTCGTCCTTTGCCGCTGAGATTTACCGAAATTGACCACTTTTCCGAAAATTTCACAATTTCCCACTTCCTTCTGAAGAAAGAGTGAGGAAAATGTATGTGTGTATTTGGGATTCGGCAAGCAATTTTTTGATGAAAATCAAGGTAAAAACCTTAAATTCATAACAGCGAGTCAACTGTGGTTGTCAGTTATCTGCTCCTACGAGGATGCATTTATAGCTATCGACGAAAGAGCTATATGTCGGCTACACATGTATGAATGCAGATGTGCGTCGTTTTGTGTGTCGTCAAACTTGTTTGATCGATTAAACTCTTTAGTCTATACAAAAAGTATATCATAGTTCATCTCCACGGTTCACGAGAGAGAAGTCAGCTTATTTGTTATCATTGCTATTTTCCTTCTTTTCATGCAATGGGCAATGGCGTTTTCGCCACAATTGTAGGATTTTTACTTGTTTCTTTAAAAAAGTACATATTAAATCTCTGGATATTTACAGATTTTCTGTAATTGAGTTTCATATGAAATTTCAAAAAGACTCAAGTCTGCATAAGTTTGGTAAATGAAATCAAACAATATTGTATAGAAATTACTTTAAGTAACCTTTTTGTGATGTTCTGAAGTGTAACTGCATCAAATACTTGTAAAGTTGTAGCACATTTTGATTTTGTTGTATTGATATATGAATTGGGCAAAATGCAAATAATCATCAAAACACTTATGCTTCTAATCAATGGTGTTTATAATTCATTTGTAGTTTTAATACTTCTACCTTTCTTTTTCACTTTGTTTTGTTTTTCCTATATTTGCAATAAAAGTGCACTATAATTTGAATGATTAACACAGTTTTCACCTCAATAATAAATTTCATAAGCAGTTGGTAGTGCATTTTGTTCTCTGAGTATCAACATCTGGTGTTTCGTTCATACAAGAATGAAGTGCAAGTAGATATGTCATAGCAAGGCAATAAAACCAAATGAATTACATACCTATAGTGTACTTTTATGCTAGAAGCTTAAAAGCTTTTTAGAAATTAGAAAGTTATTGGATTATATTACATTTATATCATCAATCTCATGAAAAGAAATGTAGAAAAGCTTTGAAAAGTGAAAAAAGATTTCTTTAAAAAAGCAGCAATAATGCATATGATAAATCTCCATTCTGTACTCCATAGGTAAATAAGCCAAAACTGTTTCTTAAAGCAAAAACTGTAATAATGAAGAAGTATACAGTACAGAAACTTTAAAGGTTTCATCACTGAATCTTCAATTCTTCAGTATAGTGCACTAGATATTAGTAACATTTAAACAACACTCAACTAAAACATTTTGATAAAGATATGATATAATTTAAACATTAAGTTATATAAAACCCAATGGCTTATATGGTCAATTTTATCGAGTTTTGCATCCATCTTGTATCATGATCAATGCATCAAGCTAAACTCTCCTGATTTGAATTGAGTTTACCTCCCAAAATGGGGCATAATTTGTTCATGTTTTTTGAAAAGATGAAGGGAAAGTTTACAACAGAGTTGTGTTAAAATTGAATGCATTGCCATGCAAAATTAATGAGAACTATGGTATATGTTGTATAATAAAAATAACTATTAAACTGTTTGCCTGCTCAATTTGACTGACTGTATAGTGTAGACAATTATAATGGGATTGGAAAGTTGGATTTATGCAAACAGTTTTACTACTTAGCGTTTCTGTAAATTAAGTATTTATTGTTATAGTAAACAGGTTACTACTTCAAAACCAAGATAAAAGTAGTGTGTTGAGCAATGTGCTAAGATTTGTTGCATATTATGATTATATTATTAATATGCATGAAAAATTAAACATATTATTGTCTCATCTCATCAAATCCATACTTGGTATGATTCCAGGTGATCCACAAGATCACATCGGATGCCTTGGTTACAATGAAGTTGAATGCAGAAGAAGCAAAAATAGATGGCAAAGAAATTCTTTGTGTCTTATTCTTTGTGTCTTAAGCGAAGCATGGTGTCACATAATTTAAAGTAAATTCATTTTAATTCTAAGTTTGTGCCACCTCCAGATCTTTCAAGTATATGGAGGATATAAAATACTATAGAATTGTGAAGTTTGAAAATATCCGAATGAATAGATCCAGAGTTATGAGTAATTTTCTAATTTTTTGCGCTTTCTGCTAATATATTTAAATATAATATTAAGCCGAGCATGGCGTCACATATCTTTAAAGTGAATATTTTTTTGTTTCTAAGTTTGTACCACCTCCAGATCTTTGTCATATTATAGAAGATATAAAATACTATAGAATTGTGAAGTTTAAAAAAGCTGGACGAAATAGATCAAGAATTATGACTAATTTTCTAAATTTAGGAGTTTTCCCCTAATATATTTATATGTAAATATTAAGTCAAGCATGGCGTCACATAACTTTAAAGTAATTTTTTTTTAATTCTAATTTTGTGCCACCTCCAGATCTTTCAGGTATTATGGAAGATATAAAATACTATAGAATTGTGAAGTTTGAAAATATCCGAGTGAATAGATCCAGAGTTATGACTAATTTTCTAAACTTTTGCGCTTTCTGCTAATATATTTATATATAATTATTAAGCGAAGCGTAGTGTCACATAATTTAAAGTAAATTCTTTCTTAATTCTAATTTTGTGCCACCTCTAGATGTTTTAAGTATTATGAAGGATATAAAATACTATAGAATTGTAAAGTTTGAAAATATCCGAGTGAATAGATCCAGAGTTATGAGTAATTTTCTAATTTTTTGCGATTTCTGCTAATATATTCATATATAATATTAAGCCGAGCATGGCGTCCGTGTCTTTAAAGTAAATTTTTCTCATTTATAAGTTTTGCTACCACCAGATCTTTGATATATTATAGAGGATATAAAATACTATAGAATTCTGAAGTTTAAAAACGTTGGACGTAATAGATCAAGAATTATGACTAATTTTTTAAATTTTGAGGTTTTCCCCTAATATATTTATGTATAAGTATTAAGTCAAGCATGTCTTCACATAAGTTTAAAGTAAATTTTTTCTATTTTCTAAGTTTGTGCTACCTCCATATCTTTGAAATAATGTAGAGGAGATAAAATCCTTTAAAATTGTGAAATTTGAAAATATCCAAGTAAGTAGATCAAGAGTTATGAGTAATTTTCTAAATTTTTGCGCTTTCCGCTAATATATTTATATATAATTATTAAGCGAAGCATGGTGTCACATAATTTAAAGTAATTTCTTTCTTAATTCTCAGTTTTTGCCACCTCCAAATCTTTCAGATATTATGGAGGATATAATATACTATAGAATTGTGAAGTTTGAAAATATCCGAGTGAATACATCCAGAGTTATGACTAATTTTCTAAACTTTTGCGCTTTCTGCTAATATATTTATATATAATTATTAAGTGAAGCATGGTGTCACATTATTTAAAGTAATTTCTTTCTTAATTCTCAGTTTTTGCCACCTCCAAATCTTTCAGATATTATGGAGGATATAATATACTATAGAATTGTGAAGTTTGAAATTATCCGAGTGAATAGATCCAGAGTTATGACTAATTTTCTAAACTTTTGCGCTTTCTGCTAATATATTTATATATAATTATTAAGTGAAGCATGGTGTCACATTATTTAAAGTAATTTCTTTCTTAATTCTCAGTTTTTGCCACCTCCAAATCTTTCAGATATTATGGAGGATATAATATACTATAGAATTGTAAAGTTTGAAAATATCCGAGTGAATACATCCAGAGTTATGACTAATTTTCTAAACTTTCTGCTAATATATTTATATATAATTATTAAGTGAAGCATGGTGTCACATTATTTAAAGTAATTTCTTTCTTAATTCTCAGTTTTTGCCACCTCCAAATCTTTCAGATATTATGGAGGATATAAAATACTATAGAATTGTGAAGTTTGAAAATATCCAGTGAATACATCCAGAGTTATGACTAATTTTCTAAACTTTTGCGCTTTCTGCTAATATATTTATATATAATTATTAAGTGAAGCATGGTGTCACATAATTTAAAGTAAATTCTTTCTTAATTCTAAGTTTGTGCCACCTCCAAATCTTTCAGATATTATGGAGGATATAATATACTATAGAATTGTAAAGTTTGAAAATATCATCATGGTCAGGCAAGAGAGATTTTAGATTTTCAGCAGCCAACTGCCATTCGCTCATCTTTTCAAGTACTTTCTTAATGTTTGTCTACAAAATACGAAATACTTTATATGTAGTCAATTGTGATGAAAGTGTGAATATTCAGCATCTTTTTACTCATGTAAGTTGCTAACAAGACACAAACTTAGTTTCTTACAGGGCGATATGCAGCTCAATTTCACATCATAATCATTCATTTCCGACGCCCTCTAGTGCGCAAGACCATGAAAGTTTTAATATTTTAATAATAATATTGTCAGCTGAAAGACAACTTCAAGATAGTAGAGACGTATGATATAGAGAAAACATAGGGATCAGCCATGAAATAGCCCATCCTAAACTAAAGGAAAAACGAATATAAACTTGCCATATGAAGATCTATCTTCTGATTATTCTTTTACTTTTTCAGTCTCTTTATCTTAATTTCATACGATTCATTTCTACGTCATTGTTCATCATACTATATATTCATCTCACGATTGTTTACTTACATAAAATGAAATTAATTAATAAGCCGTTTTTACTTATTAGCAGCTAAAATAGTTAGAAAAGATCAGGGGCCGGTTTCACGAAGCCTGGATAGCGTTATCCATTGGATGAAAAATTTTTTACACTTGTAAAAAAGATGTTTATATTTTTTTAAGACAAAGAAATTTTGTAGTCCTCGAAACAATATTTTATTTCAGTGAATGCACAGTTCAAATCTACCCAGTGGATAGCTATGGTACCTAGTCATTTCTATGTTTTACGGGGGGTCGAAGCGTCAAATTTGTCGGCAAAGTGGGCGTGGTATGGTCTTGGTTTGGACTTAGCATTAAGTGAAAATATACCGATAGATGACCAATTTTTGCCGACAAAACGATGATTGGGTGCATCTCGCACCCATGATCCACCATTCGCGACTGCTCTGATATTATGTTCTAACACAGTTACATTTTCAATTCTGTCATGTCCGCATTTGTGTAATTTGGTGACTTCCCTAGAGCGGTTCATATTGTATTACTCATAGGCTAAAAGCGCAATGATATCATTCTCGCATCATGCTATGCGCTCAGTCACGGTGCTTTACCTTAAAAAATGGTGTTTGAAGCTAATGTTCGATTTTCTCGCCGCACACTTCATAATACTTCCACAACTCATAACGTACGTCAACGTTCTTCAATATTTGTAGAAGTTCATCTTTACAAAACTTATTGCCTGAAATCACTTCTCTGTATTCCACGAGTTCGTCCAAATCATTCATATAACCTCTAAATGTTCTCCGAAGCTAAAGCGAAAAAAGTTGAATTTGACTACCGAAGACATGTTCGACAGTTTCAAAATATTCTTAAATGTGAATTCTCTCCCTCTAGCAAGAAATCTACGATAAAACTAAGCTGAAATTGTGAATTCTTTTCTTCCGGAAAGAATTCTCCGCACTTTCACTGTGCCATAATTGTGAATTCTTTTCTCTCGCGAGAATTCGAGAGTTCCGTGAAAACAGTTCGTGAGTTCAGTAGACATGAAAATCATGAACGGCAATCTTTACCTTCATTAAACTTGACATCATCAACGAGAAATTGTTCTCAGAAATCAAGAACTCTCCGCTTGTTGCCCTTTTACCAACAACACGAGCTTGATGCTCAACAGACTAAAAAGAACACATTCAATAAACAGAGATGAGCAAGATGTCCTCTCCTGATACATAGACGGTATTGTTATTGAACATTATGTAAGTTTGTGAATTATTTATGATTATTAAATCCTTTTTCTATGTTATTATTACAGTTTGTTTCTATGCACAATATGATGTGAGATATTACTGGGCAATAAGTTAAACGAAATGACAAAACTTTATACAATCGAATATAATACACATAGTTTAAAACAAAAAAAAATTTGTTAACCTAGACTTAGAAAATTATCGTATCCCTTCACATCACCACGTTACGTCATGGAATCAGAGGTGTAACTAGAATGTTAATTGGGGGAGGTGTATATTCATATATTCAGTTGCGCCCTACCGATTTCTTTTGAAATTCAATTCACTCTCAAAAGAAATCAGTAAGGCACAACGGATTTTATAAGAATATGCCCCCACACACACCTCAATTAACGTTCTAGTTACTCCTCTGTATGGAATAACTATGTATTGACAAACTTATCACATCACATATACTGTTTTATCGTTTTCGTTTTAAAAATAGTGTAAATATGCCAAAATATTTTACCATAATCTTATCATCAAGGTCACGAATTATTTCAGGAATTTTATAGACCAAGAAGTTGGAAGCTTCTTCAAGACAAAAAAGTAATTGTTCCCAAGATAAGCAAGTCTGATAGGAAAAAAATATGATAAAATAAACAAGCATTATTAATTTGATGAAATAACTCAGATGAGATTTATGCAATCTACATACAGCATCTTCAATTTCTTTCTCTTTTTCAGACAAAGGTCGCTGGCTAGCACGAATCATCTGAACATAGTAATATTACTATAAGTAAAATATCATTTTTGTAATAGTCAAATATTTTTATAATTTCACAAAAATATTGGCATGAAACCTATTATAATACCTCAAAAATGCTTTTCATATATTCGACCTCAACTTGTAGAAATGACACTTTCTTTTTTATTTTACCATGAACTTTGATGAAATTGGCAAAATTCTCTAAATCGGTACGCCTATCGGACAGTTGCTAAAAAAATATTATACTAAGGTAAATTCCGGCAAATTTTTGAACAATTGAGTTTCATTTCGTGTCGGATGAAGGGTTAAATGATTCGATGTTTCCTCAGCATAAAAACAATAAATTTATAAACAAATAAATAACGCTAATGATCTAAAATTTACATAGCAGGACCAAACATTGCGGGCTAACAACGCAACTACTAAAAATGCTACGTAATTTCCGCGACTAACGAATCATGGAACATCTACGCATGTCATAACTTGTTATTTAGTTATCAATGTTATTTAGTTACGTGTTTTAGTTGTAGATCATCCAGGCTAGTAGAGTTTTAGCAGGACTGCTGGTGTTGATGTTGACTGAGCGGTAGTCATCTTCAGAGTTCATGTGTCATTGCGTGTAGAAATGTGTCGGTGTGGGGCATCAATTGTGTATTGTCATCGTAGAATAGGCTCAAGTAAATAAATTGCTCGTTCGTTTGAGGTTGTGAATAAGTCGTTTGTAAGGTGTCGGTAATTGTTGTGATCTGTTTAGTGAGTAATGTTCTAATATTACTAATATTACTTAGTTTTTGCCAAATGCGTAGTTACGTGATGTTGCAAGCTGCTATTTTGCGTAATGTTGGGCTATGCAATATTTGAAGATGTTATGATATTGCTGTATGTTGGGTTACGTAATGTTGTATAATGTAATGTTGCTCTACGTTGGGTTACATAAGTGATATTGTAAGTTTTTGTGATGTTTCCGATAACGGGCTTACACGATGTTATAGCTAAGTTGCTACAATGTTGCTGAATGTTGAGTAACGTAAACTTTATCAAATATTACACTGCAAACAGTACTTCTGCAGTAAAAAAGTGGCATGTTGATAAAAACGTATTACCTTAACAAGCTGTTGAGCCTCGTCAATGAACTTCTTCGACATCCTCATAAGATCCTTTGCAACCATCTTGGAAAGTTGTCGAAAAATGGAACCAAGTTTCGGAACGATGCTATCTCTGATATTTCGGCAATCAACCATTAATAAACCATTAGTTGTGCAGAATGACTTCGTGAACTGTTCTAATTCTACCATCCAGGTATTAATCTAAGTTGTTTCTAAAAAATGTACATAGAAAAATGTCAGTTAATTTCCATGTTTCTTCAGGTTTCTCAGTCAAACAGGTGCTGAATGAATTTTGGATCATTTTTTAAAAGCATATTAATAGCATATTGATGAAAACACTTCCCTGGAGACTTATTTTCAATTGATGATACATGGCATTTATATTACATCTTGCATCCTTGAAATACAGTGCGGTGAGGGAGGGAGGTTGTAGTGGATGACGAATAATCTCCACTGGACAAGATGACGAGGATCGGATTGAGCTTTCACACGAATATTCTTGACCAAAACTGAGATGACAAAGCCGATGTGACAAAAGCGTCACAGTGACAACGGCTGTATGAAGCTGGACTGTATAATTATGTACAATTTCATTTTCTCCTTTCTGTTTCCTATTTAACTTTTCGTCATCCAGTAAAGTTGAAATTTTACGCTGTATAAAAATGGTGGTGTGCTGAGGTTGAGGTATATGCTCGAGGTATAATAAGACTTTTGGTTTAATATTTGTGAGTAATATACGTATTTGAATGTTTTTATGCAGTGCGGTGTTTGAATTAAATGAAGATATGATCTTCGCACTTTGTTGGACAATTTAAGCAATTGTCTCATGCGAAGATCATATCTTTAATATACGTTGTTATACACCTTATATCATGCAAAGAAATCTTGTCACAATCATGTTCAACATGCCCTAACATGATATGAACGTACCTCAATAACTTCCGTCGGCCTTCCACGCCATGAATTTTACACGGTATTATTCCAAGTTCGAACAAATTTATGAACCTCAAAGAGTTTTTCGTTGCTCCTTCAGAACTCGATCACTTATGCAGATGCAGCATTGACTTTTTTCTCCTGTTTCCGAAAGGCATGAACGATATCTTCACTAAAACATACAAACGAATATCTCAAATGGATGGAATAATCTAACTAGATAGTCAGTAATGTCTGTCGGACGAAAGAAATATATAACATAAAATATTGCCACTATGCAATTATGCACGGGACCGTGAGAACAACAAATTTCAAAGAATTGAATAACGGTAAACTTCTGAAATTTACACATAAAAGTTAATCTGTAGGCTGGCTACGCAACTGAACATATTCATCTTTAGTATTACCATACAGTAGACTAATCTAGCCACCATGAACGAAAACGTTGATGAGGAAAAAGACCTGTTTTTTTTTTAATTGCAAAAAGTACGTAGCTACAGTATGATATTAACCTACATAGTTTGCAATCAATCTATTTTTCAATTACCAGCACTTTTCTTAAAAGAAAATGCATGGTTAATGGAGATAAATATAAGATAACTGCTTTCTCAATAGAAATATACGCTAATATATACGTAGACAATAATATGCAGGAGCGTAGGGAAGGAAAGTGAGGAAAACATAGACAGTAGGTAACAGAAATAACTTTTTCGTAGATACAAAATCAAGTTAGGAGTGCAAGTTATTTTGAAAACTCTCCGCTGGTCTTTGAGAGCGCTTTATATCACGCAGTATTCAACTTTGTGCTTACTTCTAAATCGCTGCGACACGTTTGACGACGCCTATGTAAAAAACACAGGCCAATTTTACAGGTATAAATTAACTATTGCATTCCGCTTCAGTATCATAATGTTAACAAAAAGATCTGAATACATGGTAGTTCGTATGAAAGCATTCGTGGAGATTTACTTGTTGTACATTTTGATATGATAAAAAAACAAATGAAAATTACACAAAAATGCTCTTCTCTCAATGCAAAACTTACTCTTTGAGAAGAATATTCTTAAGTTTCTCATATGCAACAGGGCTGGTGGATGCCTTCACTTGCAATTGCATTGTTTGTCCTTGCACAATCATACCAGGTCTTGTTTGAATTATTGACTCCACTTCCATCGATATTTCACAATAAACAACTTACTTTATTAAAAAATTCCAGCGCATTCCTTACTTTATTAAAAAATTCCTTACTTTATTAAAAAATTCCAGTGTTTAGAAAACCTCTTTTGAACCATTGGACATTTTCAACATTCTGTCAACATATTCTCTTGCTTTTTCATGATGCCCTGTGTGCCACAAAAACATTGCAGCAAAGTATAGCGCATTCTCACCAACACTTGTTCGAATCTTTTTCAATCTTGTTTCCAATTCATGTACACTTTCCTTGTCAATTAATTGTGCCTTTTTATGTGCATAGATTAATGCCATCAAACAACACAGGACAACTTCTTCACTTTCTTGGATGGATTCAAATTCTCTAATGGCTTCTGACACACGATCTGCAAGTCAATGTAACAACCATTATGAAGTATTGACAATACAGTATATTTTAATAAATATCATTGGATCATTTTAAATACAAAGAAATAGAGCTTTTAAGCAAGCAAAAGCTAGTTTAGTGATGGATAAGAGACCAACCACTATAAATTGACATAAATTCTGCTGGCAGAATGTAAAGCTTCATATGTGAAATGACAGGAGACAAAATAAAGTGAAAATTTTCTTATTTGAAGGGTGCAGTATACACAGACAGTTTTAAAACAGTCAAAATGCATCAAATGACAAAGTACTAGTAAAATGGGACAATCAATTACAAGAAAATCTAGAAAACCTGTTGCCATGGACTATGCAACGCAACAACTGCAGAATGAGAACGACAATACTCTACATTTTTAACAACAAACCTTCCATCAGTATTCCAAATGCTTTCCAAAATGTCAAAACCGGATCACCTCCGTGCTTCTGCAAACCTTGCAAACACACGTTTTGTAGGTGCGTGTAAAATCTTGCTCGACAATAATAGTTGATACTGCCCTGTTGCCAAGTAAAATATTGCACTTGCTTGAGTCAAAATATAATTTATATTTCTGCAACTAATGTTAGAATTATCTATAAGACGAAACATACCAGTATTAGAGTATCTGTAGATGCCATAGTTATTCGTACGAATTAATAGTACAAGCTAGATTTTTGTGTTATCGTTTTCTGCCATTTGCTGACATCTCTTTATCACTCTGTATTGTTGACTCTCGGCCCAGGCTACTTCTATGTGCGCGTGGTCAATATAAAACTCTATAAATAAATATGGCCGAAGAAACTTCATTAGAGCAAGAAGCATTGAAACGGCGAGAAAAGTTAAAAGCATTGAGGGAGAAGAGTGCTGCTGCTGAGGTATACTATTAATTATAGGTCTTAATTGTTTATTTCAACCGTCAGGTTCATCGTATCATTTTTTGTCAAAGCCAGTTACTGCACTCTCAAAATGACAATCATCAATGTATCTACTCAGCCTATATTCTCAGTATTCTGAAAAGTATGCCTTTTTTTGACGAGGTCTTCAGTTTTGTATGATGGCATTATAGTAAATTGCTTTATACTGCGCAGATACACACAATGCAATCAATAGTACTGATCCATCAGTAATCATGAAATTCAATATAAAATTATAAATGTTGGTTTGGTTACGCAATGAATGAATGAATGAAAATCTTTATTTTGACACGCTGGCCTTGTCAACTGGGGTTGATTTCCACAAGGGGCGTGCTGTTGTTCAAAAACAATAACAAAATTTACTATTCAATAAATTATCTACAGAGAGAAGTTTAAATATTTACAGACTTTATTTTATTCCATCAGTTACATGTTAAAACAAACAAACAAACAAACAACATTTGTCTACCGGCAAGTATTAATCCCCGCCAGGGGGGTTGACCGGTCCATGAACTTTTCTACGCCAAACGTCTCTATCTCTCGCCATATCTCTCGTTATACCCATCGCCTTCATATCACTGTTCACAGCATCCATCCATCTCTTTCTCGGTCTACCTCGTTTGCGGACTCAATCAACATTCATATGCAACGTTCTACGAATTTCAGCACTTTCTTCCCTCCTTTCCACATGCCCAAACCACCTCAAACGCTGGCGCCTTACCCAATTCTCGATACACTCAACACCAACTCTTTCTGTAATCTCTTCACTTCGAATCCTATCCATCAACGTTACACCACACATCATCCTAAGCATTCTCCTTTCCGTCGAGGCAAATCTTCTCTCTGCTTTCGGCGCCCAACACTCTGCTCCATATCCCAAAACACTTCTAACACATGCCTTGTACAATTCTCCCTTCTGCTTCAACGAAGTCGACTTTCCGCACAACATTCCCGACAACTCTCTAAAACTCCACCACGCTGCTTGAACTCTGTTCCTCACCGCTTGCTCGCACCCTCCACCATCATTTAACACATCGCCCAGATATTTAAACTCCGATACACCTTCCAAACTCACGTCACCCAGCTCAAACCGTTCAATCGCGACTCGCCCACCACTTCGACACGTCCCGCACTCAAAATCAGTTACTCTTGTCAATGCACCACGGACACCTGAACATCTTCCATGAACCCCCTTACTGCATTTCCCACACATTGTCGAATTCACTCCAACTCTTTTCCCACACACACCACATAGCCATTTATCACTGTCCTTCACCTCCACCTGCCTCGAGCATCTCATGCCCTTCGTCTTTGCCTCATTCACTTTCAGTCCCTTGACTTCTATTGCCGTTTTCCATTCTTGGTATCATTCCATGACTTTCTGCTTCGACTCCGCCACCAAGACAATATCATCTGCATGCAACAAACACCAGCATCCTTCTTTTCTCCTCACTTCCTCTGTCAGTACATCCATCACACAAGCAAACAGTAACGGCGACAAGACTGAACCTTGATGAACACCAACTTTTACCTCAAAAACACCAGATCTAACACCTTCCTCTTGAACCGGATGTAATCGATCCTATCTGCTTCAGTCCGCGACTTTCTCCACCTTTTAAATGCCAACTTCTTCGCGCCAATCACTTCGCTGACTCGTTGATCCCACCACCATGCCTGTTCTTCTACTACACCGCCTTTACTTCTACAACATACCTTCTCCGCTGCCTTTAAAACACCCTTCTCCAAGCACGTCCATCGCTCCTCCACCGTCTCACCCTCAACATTCAATGTCGCAATTTCGTCACGGAAACACTGCTTCCCTTCATTCGATCGTAACTTCCATAGCTTAAGCCTGCCTTTACCCTCAACCTTTCTCCTCTTCACCTTCCTGATTCTCCAGTCCACGACCAGCAGCTTGTGCTGGGTCACACATTCTTTTCCTGCAATCACTTTTGCATCCTTCACGTTTTTCCTCTCTTCTTCATTCACCAGTATATAATCCATCACCGTCCTACTGTCACCAGATTCATACGTCACAAGCTTGCTTTCTTCCTTTATAAACCACGTATTCACTACCACCATCCCACAACTCGCTGCTAACTCCAATATAGCCTCGCCTTCAGCATTCATATCACCAACTCCAAAACCTCCATGCGCACAGTATCCTTTTCTTACGCTTCCCACATGACCGTTCCAATCACCAAGCATCACACATCGCCCTCTAATGTCTGCTCTCACTGCATACACGCTGTCATAGAACTTTTCCTTCTCCTCCGCACTTCGTCCAACCTGCGGAGCATACACCACAACGAAACTCACAACTTCGGCCTCAATAAGTACATCAACTCTCAGGACTCTGTCCGAAACACTCTTCACTGCTACAACCGACTTCGCCCAATCCTCTCTTATCGCAAAGCCAACACCATTCGTGCCACTTCCGTTCCCCTTCCAACACCACTTAAATCTCGCTCCATTATCTTCACCCTTTATGACTCTCGTACCTTCACCTTTAAACCTTACCTCCTGAAACCCACACACATCAACTTTCCTTCTCTTCAACATGTCCGCCACTTCTGCACTCCTTCCCTTTATTGTCCCAACGTTCACTGTGCCTAACCGAAGGGTGACACTTCCACCAACATTCGATCCGGAGATTCTTCGCACCCCCCTGCCCACTGAAGGGCTGCCGGGAACTGGGGGCCATGTCTTCTTTTCCAAAGCTCATGAATTTTGTTGGAGCAAAAGTTTTACGGTAGGATGCCCTTCCTTACACCAACCCCTTTTAGTCGTCTTTTTACGACACGCAGAGGATACGTTGGCGCAATTCTAAGCCGGCAACCACACGGCTGCCATCTTTGACAGCCCAAGTGAGAAATATAGTAAATAATTACCAAAGTTCCATGCATTACATAAATCATTGATAATTGCATCAAATAACGTCCCTTTGTTATAACCATTTTGCTGATCGCCTGAAAGATGAATAGCTAAGAGCTGCAGTTTCCAGAGCACAGGTGACCCAGATGATCCACAATTGGTATCCGCGACATAATATACAAAGGGCGGTTCGATATGGATAATTTTTTCGTGGCTAAATTGTTTTGGCATTCCCAAAGGATGTTAAAATATAAATACTTGATCATCAATCTTTGCTGGAAGTTTCTCGATGTATTCAATGGGAGAAATCAAAGGTGAAAGTGAAGCAAGTTCATTTTCTTCAATGCCAATAACTGAGTAATCAAGATACTGGCTCGTACGAAAAATTTTGCCTGGTCGCAATTGAACTAGACAACCTTGGTTCTCTCTTTCACAAAGAAAAATTCCGATGGAGCCTTTAGCATCTTCTTCACAGCTCACAACATGGTGATTTGTGATAACACATTTGTATGCAGTGTTGAATATTTTAGCTTTGACATAAAATCCAGATCCTTTTCTCAAAATCTTTTGCCTGTTTGAAGACATCTCGTTTCGCAGTGTATCATACAAACGGCATTTTTACAATTCGTCAAATTTTCAACGCGCATCAAACCATCTCCTTGGCAGAGAAAAACTTCATTTGCTTCGCAATTTTTCTCCAATTCATTCATTTTCAGATATATGTCGAAATAATGAGGACTCAATGACGAATAATTCAAAAGCCTCAAACGATGCTGCTTTAATTATGTTTTATTCTCATCGACGTAGAGACATTTTGGTAAACAATACCTTTGCTCATCGGTGTAGAGACATTTTGGTAAACAATGCCTTTGCTCATCGACGTAGAGACATTTTGGTGAACAATACCTTTGCTCAACACATTTTGGTGAACAATACTTTGCTCATCTCATTTTGGCGCTCAAAGACATTTTGGTGAACAATACCTTTGCTCATCGACGTAGAGACATTTTGGTGAATAATACCTTTGCTCATTAACTTAGAGACATTTTGGTGAACAATACCTTGGTCATCGGCGTAGAGACATTTTGATGAACAATACCTTTGCTCACTGGCGTAGAGACATTTTGGTGAACAATACCTTGCTCATCAACGTAGAGACATTTTGGTGAACAATACATTTGCTCATTGGTGTAGAGACATTTTGATAAACAATACCTTTGCTCATCGGTGTAGAGACATTTTGATGAACAATACCTTTGCTCATTGGCGTAAAGACATTTTGGTGAACAATACCTTTGCCCATCGACCTAGAGACATTTTGGTGAACAATACCTTTGCTCATTGGCTTAGAGACATTTTGATGAACAATACCTTTGCTCATCAGTGTAGAGACATTTTGATGAACAATAGCTTTGCTCATTGGCGTAGAGACATTTTGGTGAACAATACCTTTGCTCATCGGTGTAGAGACATTTTGGTGAACAATACCTTTTGTCATCGGCGTAGAGACATTTTGATGAACAATACCTTTGCTCATTGGCGTAGAGACATTTTGGTGAACAATACCTTTGCTCATCGGTGTAGAGACATTTTGGTGAAAAATACCTTTGCTCATTGGCGTAGAGACATTTTGATGAACAATACCTTTGCTCATTAACTTAGAGACATTTTGATGAAAATACCTTTGCTCATCAGCGTAGAGACATTTTGGTGAACAATATTTGCTCATTTTAGAGACATTTTGATGAACAATACCTTTGCTCATTGGCGTAGAGACATTTTGATGAACAATATTTTGCTCATCGGCGTAGAGACATTTTGATGAACAATACCTTTGCTCATCGACCTAGAGACATTTTGGTGAACAATACCTTTGCCCATCGACGTAGAGACATTTTGGTGAACAATACCTTTGCTCATTGGTATAGAGACATTTTGGTGAACAATACCTTTGCTCATCAGTGTAGAGACATTTTGATGAACAATAC